TCTCAATCCATCCATTGCATTAATCATCACATGCACATGTATTCCTCTGTCTCTGTGTGTTACATGTGCTGTTTTTCTGTGTTCTATTTGTGTTCAGTCGCACTAATGTTCTCTCTCAGCCGATGCAGTGGTCTGTGAAGCCTGCACAGACAGATTAGTGTCAGGGGCGCCATGTATAACAGCCCGTTTGTTTTTTTTTATTTTTTATGACCGGCCATCACATCAGTGGCAAGTAGAAAGGTCAACCACCTGTAAGGGACAGCTGTCATCTCTCTGCATGAGCCTCAGGAAATCCTACAGCCAACATCTTTTTCTCGGTTGAAATGACATTAAGCCCTAGATAGGCAAAAAAAAAAAAATCAGGGCACAGGATAGAGACGTGCTTTAAAATCAGATCGGCAGTTGTGGTCTTACAAAGGGTGGCATTATTATGAAATGAAATGAAATGAAAATGAAAAAATACTTTATTCATCCCAGAAGGGAAATTCAATAATTATTATTATTATACTTTATATAATAATGTTTCAGTTACTTTTTCATTTTTCAGTTGTTTCATGTTAAAATTGTGAAACATGGCCATATTTCATATATCATACATCTTGTTTTTTTTTACCAAAATAGCCCAAAATGCAAACATAACCAAGTTACGGTGGTATAAAACATAGAAAAGCAGCCAATCCTCACACTTAAGAAGCTTACAACATGTAATATTTGGTATTTTTTGCTTGATAAACAGCTGTTGGCCGATGAATTTGCCATCTAATTATTCGCCCTATCACAGATCGGACATTCTCTATAAATTGTAATCAGTTAAATAATGTTTACAATATTTACATCCTGCTGTTAGAGTCACTATCAAGTATCACAACTGACCCATGTAGGTGATAGATAAATTAATCAGTTCAGCCTCAGTTGACCCTGAGCAGCAGCTGCCCATTGTTTTCTCGTCCAGCGGAGCAACACAACAGGGATATACCATTACTCAAGATCTGAGTTTCCTAGGCAACCCCTCTGGCTTTTGTAGTGTAGTTTGTGAGGAGATAATGGTGTGGAATTCCTCCATCGCCTAGCAACACGTTAATGCCCCACATCTCCCCCATCTCTACCCGTAACTGCCCCCCAGTGCCGCTCCGGTGACTCACCCAGGTACACAAGCGAATACATCCAGCCATCACTCACGTCTAATCTGCCAGTGGGTGATGCAGGAGATGTGGACAGGGGAGAGAGTGGGGGAGGAAGAAATGTAGTGTGCATGTTGCATGTGTGTGTGGGCAGAGGGACGAGATGAAATAATGGGTTTCCTCTGTGCCACAGGTGGGAGGAGGCGGCCCAAATACATGAAAAGTGCAGGGGAGATGGTTAGATAATAAGAAATAAAAGGAGGCTGGAGTGAACACGGACGAGAGAGGAAATTGCAAAGACTCCTTGATGCTCAGCTACGGCGATGAAGTCCAATCTTCCTCATCTCTTTGTTGTCCATCTGTCCTAATATCCATCCACCGTGCAAAACTCTCATAAGATTCAGGAAAAATATTCCTCTGCTCTTTTATGGCTTTGCCTAATGCATAAGCAAAATGATCAAATCTCCAGCTTCTTCTCTACTCGTTGACAAGGAGTTTCTACCCCACAGTTAAGCAGCTGTGCCTCCATAAGTAGAGACTGCCGTATAAACAGATTATGTCACATGTCTTCATTAATACATTTCTAAATACCTAGAAGGCCATTACAGCTGATTATAACTGCATTACAGTGTGTTATAAACCATGCTTTTAATGTATAAATCATGCTTTTAAATGCTTAATATGGCTACTCGAGGTCAAATGATCCCAGAGTTCGATACAGAGGATGCCATTTCAGCTGATCTCTGGGATGTGTGTATCTCCACAACATCTGCTTCCTTTATTTTTGAGCATAATGTTTACTGTCTTGTTAATCCAGATAGGACCAGTTCTCCCATTGAGCCATATGATCTGTTTGCGCCATTGCCTATCTGCTAATCTGTTTGCGGAAACGTAACACCAACCACTGTAATACTGGTGATAACACACCCTGAGGACTATTTAACAAACTCCCCAAACAAATCATTCGTCTTTTACAGTGTGGCTTTAGATTTTTGTCGTTTAAAGGTAACTCTCTTGTGTGTTGTTCAAAACGGAGACGCTACAGATTCTGTGGTTAGATACACGTGAGTCTGGGGGAGAAAACTGTGCATAAATTAGTCCTTTAAAGGCTGTTCTTATACTGTATCCAGCTCTCTAATATTCAGCGCATAATTAAGTTATTGGGAATGACAGTGGAAAAACACAGTATTATGTATATTACTGTCGTCATGCTCCCGAACCTTCTTTTCATTAATTAGATGAGACCTTTTTCTAATGATAATCACCCTCTGAGTCACACAGGAACAGCGTGGGACTTACAAGCGGTTAAGAGGCTTTCATTCATCATCTGCAGAGTGAACTTACAACACGATGCTGCTGAAATCTAAAGTACATGTTTGTCCTCTTTCACCCGCCTGCAGAGAACCTGGACGCTATGATAGCCATGCAGACCAAGAACAAGCTGGGCAAGTCTCTCGTGTCGCCTGACTTCACTGGACCCAACGGTACACATCCCTCCAAAACATGTCAAACATCGATAAAATTATATAATAGCGTAAAAAATGATTCCATATGGTCATATGTAATTCATAAATTGGGATAAATAGACCCTTTTGGTTTAAACATGTGGTTTGATCACATTTCGACTATGGAAATTATTTAATCAACATAAAAACTTTGACCAAAGAGCATATTTTTTTATATGAACTTTGAGAAATAGATATTTGCTTTCAGGAGAAAATTGAATTAAAAGGTTACAGCCAGCAGCCAGATAGCTTAGCTTAGCATAACAACTGAAAACAGGGGGAAACAACTAGCCTGCAAAAGAAGAACAGAATGTAATAAAAACTGAAATTGTCAGCATCTGTAATGTTTGCAATAAGATTTTCCTTTGCAATTAATTCAGTTTGATCTTGTGTCATCTTAGATATCGTCCAGAAAACACAAAATGACATAAGAAATGCCAAGTGGAAAAGCAATACGATATAACTAGAAAATAAAATTAGTAAGCTAAAATTAGGCTAGAAAAGAACAGTAAGAGGTAATGAGTACTATGGCATATGACAATGAAATATTGCACATTACACTGACAATGTACACAAGCACATTATATATTTTTGTTTGGTGCTTACAATAACCTGTATGTAAAAACACTAATATAGGCGGTTACATGACTACACTAGACTATTTCTTATTTTAGGGAGATTGAGGTAGTCACTGACCCTAACCAAGAAATAGTCTGGAACACAACCCTTCATAAAAAATAGTTATTTTTTACAAAGATTAAGCATATTATATATATAACTTACTAATTAATCTCTGCCAGGAAGCAGATTCTGAACTGCTGCAATACGTATCTCTCCCAGCGACACTCTTTAATGCTCTGTGTGCTGTTTCTTTGCTGCAGGGAAAAACTTGGATGAGGATGACAACACCAAAGCCGAGGCTGCCAAGATGCAGAAGGAATATGAGAACCTCAAAGACTCGACCAAAGAGGATCAGCCATCAACCGAGACCAGTCAGTCTACTTCCCAATCCCGATGACCAGAGGAAACATGAATAGCTTTATCTTTTCTTTTGTAATATGACAATTAGCTAAAATAATTTGATACTCTTTTACCACTCTCAAACGATTACTTATGGGACTTGTAAACTGCATTTTTATTTTATATTTTATTGTTTTTACATCGTGCTTTGATGGTTTTGTTTTTGTGCCAAATGTGTCAAATAAATACATGATTCACAAATATAGCAAATTCTCCCCCAAAACATCTTCTTCACTCAGAATAGGCTTGACTGTAGTGGCTGATACCATTTCAGACGTTTTGTTGTCCCTTTGGCAGAGTTGACAGGATATAAACAACACTGTGTAGTCCAGGCCAATCATAATTAAGTCCCTGCTCGTCCCTGAACTAGGCCAGTCCAATAACACTCACAGGAAAGCTCGTCACGGCTGACATCATTCTGCGTCGCTGTCTGCTGTACTCTACCCAGTCATCGATCTAATCCACACACACACACACACACACACACACACACAGACAGATGCATTTAAAGGAAAAATCAGATGAAACATGGCGCAGGATTACCGCCAGGACATTTGTTTCAATAGGAAATGAAGGAAATACTGTGCAACTATGTGTTGTCTGTATGTTAACAGGCTGCACTTAGTTGCACAATGCCATATTTAATGAAAGATGAGGGCTTGTATTCTAATCTAAACTTAATCTGTGCTGAAAGAAAAGTCACAAACTTCATTTTTAAACAGCAGATATCACTCAATTTTTTCCCAAGTGAGTTGTTTTTCACTAAAACCAGCAACACTGGTCTGCTAGTTTAATAAGAGAGTTCAATCCGCTGCTACTGAGATGGAAATGACATAGCATACTTATTGCTTTAGGAATTTTTTCTGATATAAATAATTGATAAGTCTTAGACAGCAGCGTCTCATTCTTTGGTGAAAATAAAGCACTTCTGACTGCTCGTGTCCTACAGAACGAGAAAAGGGAAATTCAGTTCTCTGAAAGCTCTGTAATACTTTATAAGGAACAATCCCGTGCGTGCTTCTCTTCATTTTCTCTTTCTTTTAACTTCAGATCAGCCTGGCAAGTCAGAGACTTATCTGGAGGCTATCAGGAAGAACATCGAGTGGCTGAAGAAACACAACAAAGAAGAAGGCAAAGATGGTGAGAGAACCCGAATACAGACATGAATTCTTATCGATATGCACAGAGAACTGAAAATTCCATGTTGACACGTTCACCTGCTCTAGTCTTTGCCAAATTTTAAGGGCCGAAACAGGAAAAAAAACAAATTAGCAACCCTCACCCCTCACTGAATGGTGCAGGGGCTGAAATTTGAGGCCTCTTTTGTTAGCCTCAATTTGCAATTTAAAAGAGAGCAAGATACCAAAATAGATGCTTCACTCCAGATACAAAGGTCTGTTCATTTATCCTCCCTAACCTCGTCCTTTTGCACGCGTACGTCTGTGAAATGAGATCATTGATACTAAACCTGCTCTGTTACTGGGAGCACTTCTTTCACAGCAACACAAAAAGGTCAGGATGGACTTTTTGTGTTCAGATCATCTTTGTCATCAGAGTCTCGCTCGTGTGTTCAGATTTGCAGCATCGTGAGTGTGTATCTGCTGCCTCACCCATAACGAAACTGCATGTGACCCAGAAACTGCAGAGCTGTGAAAACTGTGGTTTCACACACAACAACAGCGCACTCATCTAACAGGGTGGGAAGCCTGCTGTTGGACTCTCCATAGAGTAAAATCAATGCCCAGTGGTGCTTAATTAAGCAGAGGAGAATGAAATGTTAATGAGTTCTCACTATTCAGGCCATCCTGTCCATTGGCGATCATCTCAGCGGGACATCTCAGGCAAAACAAAAGTTCCATCTTGGAGAGTTTTATGTTTACTGTTAATGCTCACTGGCCTGATCTAATGAAAGCTGATCAATAGGTGGATCAGAAAAAAAAAACAATTCAATCATGGAGGAATTGCAAAGTTTGACCTAATTTCTTGCGTGCATCTTAAACACAGACAACAAAAAAATATAAAAGGCAGACTCTAAGCATATATCACTGGGGAGTAGAGGGCCGGAGCAGCAGGGAAGTTTTGTTCAGAGCCCATCGGCGACCTTGCTCTATATAGGACACCTCATTAGCATTCAAGCGAGCGAAGTGGTTGTCCGGGACAACAGGGGCCTCCCCGCCTGCCTGTCAGTGAACCGGGCAGAGGAGACAGACAGATAATGGTGTAAAACAGACGCAATGTGCCTCCGGAATCACCCAATTTTCCCATCGAGGAACTCTCTGTAGCTCAAAGGCTAATTTTCTAACACACCTTGTACCACATTAAACTGCTCTCTGAGGTTATTCACGCTATAATTTTTTTCACTCTCTCTCTCATTTCCGACAGCTGGGTGAGAACAAATGCCTTTTCAGGCAAAAAAAAATAAAAAAAATCAGTGTCATAGAAACAGGCAGGGACACGGGCCATTTATTGTGTTTACTCTACCAGAAGCTCCCATTAGGACAATCTCAGCAGACATGGTGTGTGTGCGTCTGTGTGTGTAAATGAGTTTGTGTGTGTAAACGCCTACACGCCACAGAGATTAGCCGGAGGAGCAGATGGACGTAGAGGCGACATCCTGGTTTTGGCTCTTGGCTCCTCACAACCAAGATCGAAAGAAGCGGCGCTGCGTCTAATCACATTCTGTTAATCCTTCACACATGACATGTTTGTTATAAGCAAAGTGACTGTATTTTCAAGCGATGTGATCAAATGGATGCTGCGACAAAATGTCATTATGAAGGCGCAGAGGCTACTGTGTGTCTTTTTGGCTGCCCTCTGTACCTCTTTTTGACACTTTATTCACTCAGTTAGAGCAGGGAGAAGCTGTGCTGCGGCTGTTTGTCTGCTCCCTTGAACTCATTTGTTACCGTGATGGATACTACAGAGTTAGACTGTGTTCGTCTCTAAATATAGCCCCACTGCAGCCTCATGCTGCTGTGTCATCTGACAAAGGTTTGTCTCGAGCAAGGTGAAAGCACCCGGTGGTTTTTAAAGTTGCTTAATTTAGGAATTATTTCATTGTAAGAAACCCAACTTGGCAATAATGTTTCAACCTGTGAACTTTAGGTCTTCTTATTTCATTCTGGCGGCCTGCATGGTACCTTCTTAGCCTCAGACAAACATGTTCTGACCTTAATCCTCCTTGAAGCTTGTTTGGGTGTGCCATCTTAACAAGACGGTGCTTCCAGAGTTTAATGTCTGATTTTTCCTGCTTCCAGCCGTGATCTCCTCACAGTCTTTCTCTTAGTAAACCAGTCATTTGATCTGCCTGTTTCCAGATTACGACCTGTCCAAGCTGAAGGATTTCATGGACCAGCAGGTTGACTCGTACATTGAGAAGGGCATCATCGCCAAAGTCGAAGGCGACACCATCAAGAGGATCTACAGCAGCCTGTAACGCCACCATCTGTCCTCTAACCAACCTCTGGCTGAAAAAAACAACAACAACACAGGACTGAATCTGACACTAAGATCTCCCACAAAACCTTATTTACAATTATTTCCCATGGCATGGTAAAGTATATACTGTGTATTCAAAACTACCTGCTTAGGGGAACTTGTTTACCCTCCCAGACATTCCCAAAAATGTATCAGAAAGATGGGATTTCATCACACTATCTACAAAATTAAAAGTCATTCCTTTAATTCCTGACAACTACCTAACTGATTATATTTGCACGCCAAGACCGCAGAGTAATAATCCCTAGAATATTACCGAGAGAGAAATCAGACTATTTTATGTAACACCACACATCGTGCTAGCATTTACTCCAACCTGTCTGCTGTGGGAAATGAATGTTATGAGAGTATGATGCCGTAGCTTTGTCAAAACTACTGATTCCAATCCATTTTTGCAACATAATACACAATATATCAAATTATACTCATTGTGTGTAACCTGTCTTAGCCTATTATCTTTCTTTTTTTTCCCACCCCCCCTCGGTCTATATGTAAGATCCTAATGTATTCTTGCTTTTTACTTTACCAAAAAAAAAAAATATTTGTTGTGTATCATGTCAGTGAACTCCTCTGTTCCATTCTGCTGTAATTCCTCTGGAGCCCACTAGGGGGCGATGTCTAAATCATCAATTCTCTCTGCATGTCTCTCTGAGTTCATTTCCATCTCTGTAGAGGCAAAAGATGAAGTATTTTTAAATGTAAATATCTGTGATTTTTTCCTAAAGTTGTTAAAGCAATTAAAACATTGCCTTTTCTTTACCTGTGTACTCAACTGTGATAATGAAGCAGCGCTGAAAACTAAAATACACCAAGACTGACATCCACACAGTCCTGGATTGTGATGAAAACCCTCAAGATCTTTATATCTGGCTTAAATACATGTTTATTCTCCCCAAATAAAACCAACACAACTTAAAAGCACAATAAAACAGCTGTTACAGACAGATCTCCACACATAAAGTAATGCATTCACACTTCAAAAATAGAGCAGTCCCTTCTGTTTCCAAAGACAAAAAAAAAGAAGAAAAAAAAAAAGCTTCTACGAGGCAAATGGAACGTGTTCAAAGGCTTGAGTCCATCCACTGCCTCTGTTTGGGGTGAGCTCATACAGGGTAAACACCGATGAGGAAGGCCTGAATATACTTTCCGATGCGCCTATTCTAAGAGGAGATTTAGAACATCAGAAGCGGTTAGCGAGTCGCACAAGCTAATCCTCCCGGAATTGCTTAGCGCTCAAGTGTATGCGAGTGTGAACGTATGCAGCAGGTGGTTTACTGTACAGCAGCTTCACAAGCGTATGATGAGTGGATGGGCTCCGTGTGCTCAGATGCTGCCCTGTAACCTGTCCAGCAAAACTGTACAAAACAATAATAATATACATCACAATCATCGCATTTCAATAAATAAAAAGGCAAACATGACACTTGTTCAACGCGGTTTGGTAAACACAAAAAGGTAAAAAGGGAAAAAAAAAAGAAAGCAATGAGGCTGTGGGAGTGTTTTTTTTGTGTGTGTATGGGTGTGTGTCCAAGACAGCTTCAGGTAAACAGACTGGTCCTTTATATGTCCTGGTAAGACGTTGTGGGGGCCGTGTAGTCCTCCTCATTGCTTCTGCAAAAAAGAAAAACATACACAACATTTACTTGGAAGTTGTCCACAGTGGAAAAGCATTTCGACAACACATTCTCAAAGTCTTTTCTTCTCCTTCTTCCACTGCTTCAGCACTGGGTCTAGGTCAATGTGTGAATAATGGATGAGGCTAACCAGTCGTATTGTTCTCAGTCACAGCTGAGGGCTCAACTGTCCACGAAAAAGACCTGCTGGTACAAAATCTCAATATCCTAGATGCATCATGACTTTAATTAGGCCTGAACAATTGCCTATGAGCGAATTCGCAACATGGGTAAGTGCAATATACAAATCTCGGGAACTGCAGTTTTTTGATGAAGGTACAATATGTCACGACTAACATCCTCACATAAATACATACACATAAATGAAGCACTGGGGTGCTACAAAGACACTCCAGCCTCCAGTCATATTATCCAGACATAAGGGAATGGGGCTTGTTTGATAGACAGGAGCAAAAATTACATCAGTTTAATATTTAGTTCAGTAGAAAAGAAAAAAAAAAATCGAAGTTACGATTACTTAAGGAATGAAATATCGAGGGATTAACATCAAAAGAGGCTGCAAAGAAAGGTTTCACACCACGTCTTTAAAGGCAGGAGGTGAAAAGATTGGTACAACAGAGAGATGGATTTTCTCTGAATATCTTACCGATCTAACTGAGAAAGAAAAAAAAAACATCCCGAGGGAGAACAGGATCAATCTTTTAAACTTCGAAGAGCTCGCTCTCAGGTCAATTTGGTCTTCAAGGAAAACCCCTCATGGAAAAAGCAAATTGGTCCCATAGAAAGTAAATGTATTTATTCATTCTGCAGTGAAGGGCAAACTAGTTTAATGCAACTCTGCTGCTTCTAAGCAGCTTTATGCATTCTGCCTTGTCTTTTACCAAGTCTGTCTGTCAAGGATATCCCAACTATGTTTTCATCAGATCTGTTGGAGAGCAAAGCCTCGGGCCAAAGACCATCTGAGATAAGATTGGTAGATATAACACCTAACCTATTTAATACTTTTGCCCTTACACAATGAAATACCGAGCAACTCAATGTGTTGATTCTAGTTTGTTCTACTTCCCTGCAAGCTTGCTCTCACTCACAAATTTGAAGTTTGGCTTTGTGTTTCCTTTCATCACCCTACAGCTCTTCACCTGTCATCATCTTGTAACCCTGTTTTAAAAAAATGCTGAAAAAACAAAGTTAAATGACTACAGTAAATGTAAGAGACAAGAATGATGTCTTCAGATCTAAAATCAAGGTGCAGCACAGTATTGGTGAGTGGCCACATTTTCAAGCTAGAACATCCAATCAATACAGCCATATCACTGCTTCTGTATGAAACTATAAGGGTTTCTAAAGGCAGAAGTATCACTCAGCCTACTTTTACCTCCAGTTGAGCTTCAAAGGTTTGTGGTTTGTTTGAGGCAGGAAGTCAAACAGGCATGTAGTCTGTGTTTGCTCTGGGACTGTATGAAAACAAGGGAGCGAGCCTCTGTTTGTCTCAACAACACTGCAGCTCCACAGGCCGGCCTTTTATGTGGCTGCAGTCATAGATGGGGTTTGCACAAAGCTAAGCTTCGCCTCAGCTGGTAGGCAAACATTTAAGGAGACATTAAAAACTTTGTCTACTCAAGACACGTGCCTTCGTTTAACAAAGCTCAGGTGTAGAGTTACTGGAACGCCATAAAAAGCAAAAGTAATGGGAGATGCTGTGAGGTTAGATGGTGCAAAAGCATGTAATAATGGATTACTTGAAATAAGATTGTCTCGATACAGCGACAGACGATATTTTCAGATTACAGGATGATTTCAAACATGGACCAAGTAATGACAGTCATTTAGAGAACTTTAAATCAAGTAAGTAGTGTGAGGCAATTAGGGGATCAAATGTGGAAGGATCAAAAGAGGCTGGAAAGGAAGTTTTTACAGCAACTTTGTCAGAAAATTTGAAGAAATGAGAGAGAGCATTAACGCAGGAAGATAAAAGAGTCATCTGAAGGAGCTGGAATCTAGTTAGAAGTGCAGTTCAGTCACTGGATTTTTCCTTATAAATATGAAAAACGACAATTTCTCTGAGGACTTCTTCTTGAATATTAATGTAAACACCAAATCATAATGGAATTAACAAGATGCAGTAAATCCTTCATTCTGAGGATGAATTGTATGATGCTGTATGACTTGTTAATGCAGATTAATGTGATACGACCTGTCTCATTGTTTCTGAACTGAAAAGCTCAATGACGTGTTCAGACCATCGGTTATATAAGAAACATAATGGACAGCTGAACTGACGCAACTGCTCAAACAGCCAGGTAATGTTCCCCTGGGGCCAACGGGAAGGAAACTAACATCAGAGCTGCTTCAGGAGGGACAATGTCCACTCTGAAAATACAATAGGGTGAGCAAAACTCTTCTAGAAAGCCTGAAGTGGAAAAAGTGTGTATGCGTCTGTAGAAGAGTCAGCTGTGGTGTGACTCAGTCGTCAACAAACCGATAGTACCAACAAAGCCTGCTTCTCTATGAATGGGTGTATGCCAGGCATCCACTACGACTTCGCGACCGAGCAGACGCAAGAGCATTCTTTGTCTCAACATGCAGTGTCAGGAAGACGTGGACAGGCCATAATTCTGCAAGCCAAATCCTGCTAAATACCTGACTGTTGCATAACATGGCATCTGACAAGTACAGCAGATTGGCGGAACCCTGATTCCAATCTTCGATCGTCCTTCTGTGAGAACATTTTCACGCTCTATTCCTGCTGAGTGGCACTTCTGATAATCACCCCATGAGCTCAGCCGTGAGAGTCTGGGCCCCGTTTTCTGCAAACGTCGCGAGGCAAAGATTGTCTCAGTGGCACTCTAAGTCTGTGAGCTGAGATTGTCAGCTTTTGGGGAAAAGTTGCCGTAAAGAGTAACGCCAGCAAAGTGACTAAACACAAAACACGCAAGCCCTTCCCAAGACACATACCTGACATTATTATAACTGACTGACCTTTTTTATACCAATTTGTACTGTATTATACCTATCTGGACTTAATTATACCTAGTTAGACACCATTGTGCCTCTCTGGACTGTATTACACCTACTGTATGTGGACTTTTTTCTCTAGAACGCCTTTTTTGATTTCCATCTGGACTTTATTATACCTACCTCAACTCTATTTAACTGATCTAAACTTACCTTCCTGGGTTTTATTATACCGATCTGAACTTTTTAAAAATCTATTTGGAGGTAAATACACTACTGGTCAAAAGTTTTAGAACACCCTAATTTTTTCCATTTCTTTGTTGAAATCTATGCAGTTTAATGTCTCATTGTACTCTGAAATGAAAGCATAGAACAAATAAACAACTGAAGCTAAAAAAGAAATCATGGAATCAATTTATAAACCAAAATATATTGTAAACTTGTGACTCATCAAAGTAGCTCCCTTTGGCAGATATAACAGCTGAACGCACTCGTGGCATTCTTTCTACAATGGAAATCAAATATTCTTTAGAAAGTTCTTCCCAACTCTGTTACAGAAGTTCCCACAAACGTCTGACACTTGCTTTGCTTGCTCTTCTGTCCACTTCAACCTATATCACCTTGATGGGAAGTCTGGAGACTGTGGCCACTCCATGTTTTCAAGCTTACCATTTTGTTCTTTCTTCATAAGGTAGTTCTGGCATAGCTTGGACTTATGTTTGGGGACACTGGCTTGCTGTAGGATAAACCCCAGACCAACTAGGTGCATACCAGAGGGAACTGCATGGCGCTGCAGAATGCAGTGGTAGTCAATTTTGGTTCAGGGTGCCTCTCACTCTGTACAAGCCACCAACCCTGGATCCAGCAAAACAGCCCCCAGACCATCACACTTCCTACTCCATGTTTGACAGTTGATGTCACACACTGAGGAACCATCCTTTCACCTACTCAATAGCTTATAAAAAAAAGATCCTGCATGATGAACTAAAGATTTTAAATTTTGATTCATCAGTTCATAACTCCTTCCAGTCATCAGTAGTTTCATGGCCCAGGCAATCCTCTTTTTCCTATTCTGACGTCTTAGCAATCGCTGTCTTGCTGCAACTCGCCCTGTCAAACCTGCAGCACAAAGTCTTCTCTTCACAGTTGAAACTGAGACTTGCTTACAAT